AAAAATTGCTGCGAAGTTGTCCCGACGTCTCCAAGATATTCATAATGATGCGGTCGAAAAAAAACAAGAGCGCCTCGACTCGGCTGGACGAGATTTTTAAAAGTCCCGTAAGCATAAATAAAACATTACTATATTTTACAACAGTGTCGTAAGTTATTTTTATGTAACGGTATGACGGAACCATAGCTATTCAGTCGAGTGAAAAAGGAGATGCCCAACTTTCGTGAAAAAATCGTGCCGGTGGTCGGCGAATTGTACGAAGCAGACTTGGGATTCACGAAAGGTGACACGGATTTACTAACACACGAGGTAAGGAATCTAATCGTGACGTTCTAACAAAAAAATTTCTCGTACAAAAAATACAATACATAATAAACACCAACGAACAGTAACGTAACATCAATGTTATAATAGCTCACTCAATAACGTAAATATAACGCGCATTATATAACAGTTACATCGTTGAGTGGGAAATTATATATATATATATATATAACATTGATGTGATGTTACTGATGGGTGGTGTTCACTGGATATGAATCACGCAAGTCTGATCCTTGAACTCCAATCCCAAGCGTGATCTGTGAAATAGTAAAGATTACATTTACATTTCATCACAGATATCAATAATATTCCATTTGGGAGCGAGTATACGCTTCAATAACGACATCAAATCAGCTACAACATTGAATGTAGTCGCCACTCGTGCTATGTTGAACTTGGCAAAACGTATGCCGAATTTGAAGGTTCGTTAGACCGACGAATATACATTTATTATTACAATGTGATACTAATTCATCATTATTTAATATATTAATTTATTATATCTTTTTATTCTAATTCATTATAATTTATTATTATTCAATTTATTGTAATTTATTATCATTTAATTAGATATTATTAATGTTTCCTTTGCAGTCATTTATTTACGTATCGACAGCATATGCAAATTGTCAAGTCAAACATGTCGAAGAGAGAGTTTACAAATATCTCATTAATCCCGAAGAACTTATCACACTTGTACAAACATCGTCCGAAAATATGATTAATGAGACACTCTCAGGGTATATATTCTCGTTACTTAACACTTTGCGGGCCGCGCATTTATCGAAGCGCCGTTACGCTGCCGCCGGCGAGATTCACGCAGGTTCTACTGCTCGCCAACGGTGATATTTACGCAATTTTTCGATACATAAGTAGTTGGTATATAATTATTATTAAAGAAGGCACTAAAATAACTGTTACACTATTTTTATTCCAATTATATTGGTTAATTTGTATTAAACCGTTTTATTTAAAAAATTTAACTCCTAGGATCCATAGTTCTTTTTAGTATGATAATCGTTTCATACTATGTTTCCTGATCGTCAAACCATCACGCCAGCGTGATAGCGGCCGAAAGTCGTTGGCGAGCAAAAGTCACGCCAGCGTAACAGCGGCCGATAACCGTTGGCGAACAAAAGTCACGTCAGCGTGACAGCGGCCCGCAAAGTGTTAACACTATAGAAAGAAAAGCAATACGTTCGTAGGAAGAAAAATTTGAACTACAGATTTTTTACAGAATTATCTCACAGTGGCCCAATTCTTACACGTTTACAAAAGCGATGGCGGAAATGGTTGTTAAAGTTAATGGTGAGAGGTTACCGATCGGAATATTTAGACCATCTATAGGTAAGAAATCAGTCAGATACTTGAAAAAGTTGTCAGAAAATTAATAATATGTCGATTCGAGCGATTGGAATTCTATCAGTCCACCAAACGCGATACTAATATATTAATAGTTGTGCAATTAGTATTTCTGCAAACTTCTTTCATTCCTTCCACTCATTTTTAAATTTCTGCAAAATCCCTCAATTTTTTCTTCCTTTTAGTTACAAATGTCGCTCACGAACCGCTCGTAGGATGGGGAGACAATTATTACACTATGATGGGATTTATAGCACCTATTTCCAAAGGACTGCTAAGATTTGTCATGTGCAATTCCGACTGTAACGCAAGTGTAGTACCTGTCGACATTACCATAAATGCTTTAATTGCCAGCGCGTGGGATGTATTCAATCAGCCACAGAGGTATGATTCAGCACGAGGAACATTTCATTTCTACGAGCATTTAACACGTTTTTAGCGGGTAAATTCGCAAATGAATTTTGATTTCGATTACTTTTACGTATAAGTCTCGCTTCTCACAACTCTTCATCGATGAGATAAAATATATTTTCTTTCATTTTTAAACTCTTCGATCCGTCATACAGTTCGACTTTCACATATACAAATTTATATTTTTTTTCACTATGAATAGTTGTTGCATTTCATTCTATATTATTCCTAATTGCAGGAGAGGCGACAAAATGTTAATTTATAATAATGTATCGACAAACGACGCGCCTTTGACATATGGGGATTTTTTCTTTTACTCGCAAATAAGCTGCCAAAAATACCCGATAAAAAGTTGCTATTGGATGCCGACTCTCACAACGATCCGAAACAAAGTTATATTTGCAATATGCATTTGGTTCGGCCACTTATTGCCTGCTTTAATTATCGATACCTTTGGAAGATGCATAGGTATTCGACAAAGGTATACGAAACTCTACCGTGTTTATGAAAATGTACTCGTGTAAACGTTACTTTGCTTGTTTCAGAATGTGGAAATCGTACAAACAAATTCACGATTTTTGCAAGGCCGTCGAATACTTTACGGTCAGAGAATGGACCTTTACCGACAATAACATTCATGCAATATGGCAAAGCATGAGCGAAAGTGATCAGCTTCTATTTAATTTTAATATGAAAGGTTTCAATTGGCCGCAATATTGGGACAATACCGTCAAAGGTGTGCACCATTACCTGCTCAAGGAGGATCTCAGTACTTTGGAGGCCAGTCGTATTAAATCGAAGAGGTGCGATTTATTTTTTTTAATTCGATGGTATAATACACTTTTGTATGAAATACAAGTGAAAGTGATACATAGGTACGTTCAAACTCTGAAATTTTATGTTAAAGTTTATAATAATATTACAAATTTCAGATTGTATTGGATACACTATGCGACAAAGTTCGCATTTATATTGATCGTCGTTGTGTTTACCTGTAACCTGTTAGCAAATATATTCTTGTAGCATACCCAGCAGCAGAACTTAAAACGAACATTCCTCGAACGTTTACGTGCTGTTTGGATTGTATGCCTTACGCATATAATTTTATAATTATAAAATTATAACCAATACAAAATACTGCAGTCGTGCGTTACATGTTCTCTATGCAATGTTGACCAGTATTTACTCAAAAATACTATAATTTCGAAAAAACAGTGTAATAGCGATAACTTAAGCGGAAACTCTCCTAAATGTGATAAAAAATATCGTATCTGCTTAATGAATACCTACGGGCGTGCTATAATATAGACTGGTGTAAAAAATATGTATGAAAGGGTCAAGTGAAAAAACGACAAATGTGATTTCATTGGAATTATTCGATCTTAGAGTAATGTTGGTCAACGATATTTACAATGTATAAAATCAGAGAAGACATATTTCATGAAAATCGAGCATATTTATTAAAGAAGAAATATTACAAATCTTGCATACATAATAATAATATCAAAGAAATAGACAAATTTGTATTAATTTGCACCCATACTAATAATTCCCTGAAATGTGCTCTTTATTAAATATATATATAATTCATAAACGATATAAAAATATATTTGAAAACACAATAAATTCCTTGAAAATGCAATAAATTTTAACGTAAACAATCTACTGTAAATTATTCGTATTCTATAATAAAGTCATCGTGTTGGCAAAGTAATATATGGCAATTATGTACAAGAGTACATAAGTCAACTTGATACAGCTCTTATATATTCTGAAGAAAACAAATTCGGATAGACAATTACGTATACATTACGATAGTAAACAGAACCAGTTTCAATGTCTCTCCGTGCTCGTAAGGATTGAAAGTGATTTTCGGCCTCATGTATAGGCTGTACTGCTAGAAGTTCGTGTATCTTATTTTTATATTTTTCCGCTATAAATTGCGACGCAGCGGTAAAAATAAATGGACAATTCATTTTTCGCGATGACGCTAGATTATCCAACCATGTCAAGCTATTTTCCAGGTTTGCTTGAAATGCTATAATTATATCCGGCTGTTGAATCGATGAGCCGGTAACATATTTACGATACAACATATGAAAACATTCGAATTTAAGCTTCTGTTGCCTGCAATTACATTCGGAACAAAGTACGACGTTCCCGCTTTCGGCTTTTAAATCGGGCGCTATCACATGAATCGTCAGCTCTTTTATTTTATGTAAGAGGTGCAGGAGAAGTTCCCAAGCTCTCGTGTATTCCCCTTCGATGTAGCTCCCTAATACATGAATGACACACGTTTTTTTATGTTTTAGAATATCTAATAAATTCGCATTCTTCATCCCGTAGTACAATGTTAACGGTCCCGAGGCGTAATCGGAGTAAAAATAGTCGGTGTCCAACCAGATTTCATTTGAAGTACGCAAGTTGTGAATATATCTTACGATAAATTTAGTCATTTCGTCAATCGGTTTGCCTTTTTCTGGAAAATCGCTGAATACGAAGTGAAATGTAAACATGTCACGCGTAAGTTCCAGGGAAAGACACAATCGCAACTTTTCACACGTTTCTTTATGCAGTCGATGAAACTCATTCATGTCCGTTTCGCAATAATTATCTGAGTAGCATATCTCGCAAGCGTACAGCAGATCCTGGCGATGACAAATGCGACAAGATTTCGCGAAAGTGATCATTTGAGTTTCGTACGGCTGTAGATCGCATGGATACCGTTTTTGGATTACATGTAAGAGTTCGTTCCTCGACTCCGTCCACCGAAGTGTAGAAGACCTGACGGACTTCCATTCCGTCCCTTGCTTTTCTAATATAATGGCGCTTACGTAATTGCAAAATTTCTGGTGGTGACGAAAGTGCATCGATTTGTGTGTGGTACTGCAGTAATAGATCATTTGGCACTGTTTGCATGAAATTAAAATTCCATTGTTTCTCCTCTTGCAAACGTGACAAACGTTCGGATTGAAGAATTTATTGTAATTTTTATTCTTGATTATCCACGTGTAGCAGTTTAGTATTGAGATATAGTCTATCGTGCAATTCATGGCGATATATTGGGTTTGCTGGATCAAAACGATTACTTTTTTGTAATATGAATTTAAAAGTAACGAATATGTGTGAAATACGCTACCTTTAGCGGCAGTAAGACGGTTCTCTGTCTAAATAAGTTAGACCTGTTGTTGACGTCTGTTCGGACGACACTGAGAAGGTATAGAAGTTTACGTACTTGCCTCGGATATTGTTGATAAACCGAATAGCATTTGAATATAAGCAAAATGTTAATATCTGTTATCAAGTGATGAATAAAAACATACGGAATGTCTAAGCAATTTATTATCTTTAATTTAATTTTTCTTAGTTGTGTCGTAGAAAGAAATAAAACGTGTTAGGAATGAAAAATAGTGTCAAGTTTTTAAACTATCGTTATCAAAAGGTTAATATGGGGGTAAAGGATAATATTGGGGTTAAGGGGTGGGGGGGGGATTTGTCCAAAACAGGTTAAAAATGGGCAATGGTTAAAAAATTTTTTAATGAAAACTATAAAATACAGAAAAGTCCCGGTCAGGTCCAATTTATTTATTCGCCATAGAACAACTAAAAATTTTTATATGGATATATGTGCTGAATTGTTGGAACAGAAGTTCGTAGCGTTTTTTAAGTAAAATTCGAGAAACATATTTAGATATTTGTACCTATTAAGCAAAAAATCATTACTACAATGTTATTACGACACGTTGAATAACACATAACGTCTTCAAATGTGTTGTATTTAATGTTTTATACAGCATCATTATGGGACAAAATTCGACCCTACTTTGAAGATTTCGATAATGTCGAAACGGAAGTGTCGTAACGTAACAAATAACGATACCCCAAAATTTTTCTCTCATTCCCGTAATGTTTGTGAAGTAATATTGATGAAACGACAAAATTTAACATCGGCCGCATTCAGCAGAAAAAGCAGCTCAGTGAGCGTTAAGTGTTTATTGTCTGCGACTGTAGAATTCTTTTAGATTCTTAATAGAAGCCGAAATCCAAAAACGAATACCAGTCAACATCGATAATCATAGTAATGGCTTCTGCTCACAAGGCGCGATAACGCTTGCCGCGCGGCGTAAGTTCGCGCGGTAGCCAATAAACTTCTAGTTTATACCGAGAAACGACACGTTGATTGGCTACCACGCGAATTTCCGCCGCGTCCTGTGGGCAAAAGCCAAAAGCGCTTCCTGAGCTGCTCTTTCCGTTGAATCCAGCCATTATCGGCAGTGTCGGAAAGTGGATGCAGAGGGCGTAACAAACAGTCGCGTAAAACGCTATCAAGAAAAACGCCGTCCACTCTCAGGTTTTTCCTTCGGTCTGCTTTTTTAGCTGCGCTGTTGAACTGGTACGACGAAAAAGAACAGATCATTTGCATCGCAATGAGGTTATAGTGATAATGGAAGACAGGATAAGAGATGTAGGCTATTCGTTCATATTTATACACGCGTAGCTATGTCCTCAGGAAAGTACGTGTTCCACTGTAATGTAGGTATTGTTGGAACTTTTGTGAAAAAGGAAATATAAGTACTGTTAAGCCAGCGGCACACGATGCTTGTTTTCGTGCTGGACTGCTTGCTGGTTATAAATACTGCGTTCTGATTGATGCATTTTCAAAAATGGATGATAATACACCAATCAAAATGCAGTATTTCCATCTAGCGAACAATCCAGCACGAAACATGCATCGTGTGCTGCTGGCTTGCAAGGAAACGTACAATATAGCTTGTTGATGAAACTATTAAAATTTATCAATTTATCACATCTGTGACCGACTTTAATGCGAACATGGCAGACATACATTTAATATATTTTCTGAAAATTGCTAAAAAATAAGTTTTCCACTTTCCATAACTAGATTATATTGACTGTTTAGAGGTTATAGGTACTATCGCAGACAGATTTTAAATGGTTGCAATTACGCGTCAGTTATGACAGCGAGAAATTAAAAATTATTCAGAAAATTCAAATCGTAATCCTTGTAGAAAGCGGTATCTATTGGAATTGAGAAGAAGAAAAGAAAAATCAGAAGAATTGTAAAAGAAGTATATATTATACATAGTTTGAGAGACGATACGTAACGATACGTACTCGAGCGTAAAACCGAGCCAACAGTTCAACTTGGGAAACATCCAAATTATACACTTCATTCGCTTGAGACGTGAGGTAATCAGTCAAAGAGATCATATTTATCTACCGAATATCCAGTTTCCACGTTCTCTCATTAGTCTGTTTGTTTCACTTCAAGATTTTTGTCTATGGCAAACTCTATCAACTTTGTTTCATGATAGATTCATATTTTATTCGCTAAAAAATAAAATACTTTGCATGTATTTTATTATTTTGTTATTTTGATAAGTTTTGCAAGTGATTTCATTATTTGTAATATATATAACCTGATAATTATAATTTTTATAATAGTATATAGGTAAGATAGAAGAATTATACGATAGAAGAGATGGCAGATATACAAGAGCAAAGAATCGATGGACAGTTCCTGCCGTGTAGCTTTAAATTCCATAAGTTTGCTGTGAGAGTCAGCGATACCACTATTAATTGCCAAATCATAAAGATGGAAAACTGCTTGTATCTATGGATAGGAGATAGCAATAATCCAAGCATGGAAGACCTATCTTTCGCTCTAACATCAAAGTTGGAAAGACAACCGATTGCTACAAAGATCATAGGTGCGGTAGCAGATGCCACATCTACAAACATGGCTAAGAGATTAAGCATGAAACTTGGGAAGCCTGTATACGTCAGTTTTAATGTAACAGCAAACAATATAACATTGCCAGGAATTGAAAGGAGAATCCAAGAAGAGTTTAAGGCACATGCAGATCTGCTGAGCCTTTAGCATTTTAAAGAAATAAATCCTTGAGATTTTTTACGTAAAGAAATATTAAATATTAATAAACATACAGGTATTATGTATAAAACAGAACATATAATAGAGACCCACAATGCTGGGATATTCTATACTATTTGGGATATTTATTTGAAACCAGAAATAAATTTCTACTACACATACACTACAACGGAAGTATTAAAAAGTCATTATATTTGAAGAACTTTAGTTTTATCTTAGAATTATTCACAACACTGCTTCAGGCCAGTATCATCATTCTAAATCAATGAAAGTCTCTGAAATTATTCATTCATACTTATTTATTTGAATTTAGTTAAGAGTCCTATTTGACTTGCAGTGTTTGCCGGTATGTGGATAAAATTATTTAAATAATCATCCAGGTGAAATGATGTTACAGTCCATATTCTGAACTCACTTTTCGATCAAATGAATGAAGTAATATGGATCTATGCGTTAAGCTCATATTAGATTAGGGATTGGAAACTAGATTTTAACGAGTCAACAAATTTCTATTTTATCCCCTTTGGTCTGTCGTTTTTAGCTGCACTGCTAAAAATGTCTGCGTTTAGAAAACACAGAAATTAGTGAGTAGTTAATGATTATTGGTCTTTTTTGTTAGATCCTTAAATTTAAAACGATTATATTGACGAGTTACTTAACCGTTGTGCAACTTTATATCATCTGTATAAATTTTTATAAAGTCATGAAAACAATATTATCTAAAACATTATGTAGATAAATCACGCTATTAATCTTATCATTCATCTAAATAAATTATTAGCTAAACGATCTTCATCTCATCAAAGATACATTTTCGAATTTTCATCTCATCTTCATCTAGATGAAGATTAAATAATCTGAAGCAAACTATTGATTCGTAAAAGTTTGTGGTCACTGCTTGTGTGATGCTGAAAGGTAGTGTGATTTTGTTGACCGAATATAAAAGTGAACAAATGACGTAAGATGTTATCCATTTTGCAGTAATTTTGCTAAAAATTATTGCAGTTATTTGTTTAAAATTATCGATCGATTTTATAACAGCGAGACGTAGTTTGGCACCGGACTCAACAGATGGCAGTGCTCTACCTAACCTAGTTTCCCCTCTGTCTGATTCTCTCATTTTCTATCAAGCTTCTCCGAGGAAAGCACGTGTTCTATCGAGAGTTACAACCTCTATTCGTCACAATCAGCACGTGTTATTGGTTGAAAACAATACACGATGCTGGCCAAGAATTTATTAACTTTCTGCAAACGAAAGAAGAAATACGAACTGAGGTTCGCAGAATTCACGCCAGCTGAGGTATTCGTTGCTTTAAATATCGCTTTAAGTTGATTTAAATTCTTGTACGCATACTTTTAATCTGTTTAAAGGAATATTTATTTCCATACTACTTCAACCCTCGCCGGACGCGATGTATTTCAGATTAAATGTTTACCGTTTACTACATAACATGGAAGATAATAATCTCAAATATATTTTAATTCTATCATTTGTAGTATTTAGATATCTGAAAATACGGTATAAATTGACATATTCCGTATCGCGTGCGTGGCCGGTAACTGCGGAACTTTTCACGCTGAACTTTTCATTCATGCTGTTTAACATTTTGGCTCTAAAGCCAAATATAATCATGAAAAGTACTTTGATAATTATTACAACAAATATTATGTGACAAATAAAATTTGACTTATAATATGACAGTTGGATCACTGATAACTCCATCCATCCATGGACGATAAATCACATAAAATTAGCACAGAACATATTAAACGTGAATTTAATTTCTTCTTCTTGTTTTCTTGCAGAATTTCGATAAACTCGAGCCAGAGAGAATTTTGGAAATACTATGTGAATTTTTAATGCACCCAGAATGTACGGAAGATGTAGCAGACTGTTTTCCAGAATTATTGCCAGCACTTGTCTCTATGGCAATAAGTGGAGATGACATAAAATCATCAACTTCTTTTTACAGGGATATTAATCATAGACTAAACGCCGTTATTCTGGGCAAGCTGATTGTTATCAATCAAGACTTATTAACGTATGCATTTATTGAATATATGTGCTATATAAATACTATATTTAATAAGCTTCTTATAGTAATAAATTCAGATAATATTCTACAATATGTCTCATTTAAGCTACATTCTTCAATTCTTAACAAGTTAATTTTTAGCTGATTTTCGACTCCTGTAGATTTTATTATCACACAGTGAATGATATACAATGGACAATTTTGTCAAATATTTATTACAGTTAAGATATTAATATTTTCCTGATAGCCTGTTTAAAATATATATATATATGTTTAACATTATAATTCCTTGTGTTAACAGAATTAAACAAAATTTACGTGTTTAAAAATACAATATTATAAGCTTATTACATGTAAATAAATACTTGACAGCATTGAATGGCTCGAAATGTTTAAGTGATTGAATTTATTCTTACAGATTTGTTTTACGTTACTTTGACATTAATCCCGCACCATTTGAACCCGTCGACGCGGACACAGTCACTGTTTCACCAGCAAAAAAACGCAATACGAAGAAACTGTCCTATTACATCTCGGAAGTATCTGATTACGACGTTGTTAACGCATGTTACAATATTCTACAGTCTGCCGTCGGCCATTTTAAGCACAACTGGAACTGGTCGAGATTTTACAAATACTTGACGAACGCAGATGACAGAGTAAAATGGTGAGAAAACAGAACGAGAGATCCTATCCGCTTGTTATCATTCCGGAATAAAAGACTTTGTACCTTTTTTTACCTCAGGGTCGCCTTGAAATGCCTAGCGATCGTCTTAAACATGCCCGAATCCGTAAGGCTGTCTTGCGCCCCAACGTTCATCATGAATTGCGAGAGATTTCTGGCCGATCACGAAGCCGAGAGAGTTGACGCTCGAATTGCATGCGCAAGCTTCGACTCGGTAGGAGACGCGGTCAGGAATATTCAGTCCGTCGTATCCGTCGGCGGCATATTGTTGCCTCGTCGGAGCAGGAATCAACAGACTCACCACGATCTGGTGCAAGTACCTTCCACGAAGAACAATCTGCGAGGTCTGGCCATAGCCGTCGGCTCCAGGAGGTGCATTTGCTTGCAAGGACCGGTTGGTTGCGGCAAAACCGCCTTGGTGGAGTACCTGGCGAGGATAACCGGCCACGACGCATCGAGCTTCGTCAAGGTGCAGCTGGGTGATCAGACCGACTCGAAGATGCTGCTGGGTATGTACAGGTGCACCGATGTTCCCGGCGAGTTCGTCTGGCGGCCGGGAGTTCTCACGCAAGCCGTCGTCGCCGGCAAGTGGTTGTTGCTGGAAGACATCGACAGCGCGCCTCTCGACGTGGCCAGCGTCCTTGCCAACCTGATGGAGACCGGCACACTGTGTGTGCCCGGTTATCGCGACACTATCCACGCTCACAGCGACTTCCAGTTGTTCGTCACTCAACGGTCGTCCGCTCAAAGGCACGTCACGGGAGCCTCGAGTCTGCTGCGGAAATACTGGCTGTGCCTGGACGTGGAGCCGTTGTCCAAGGAGGAATTGCTGGTCGTGGTTAAAACGTTGTTCCCGGTGTTGAGCACCGCCGCTGGCAAAATGGTAGACGTGTTCCTGCTGTTCTCCGTGGGGGACCACGAAGGCGGCGACGAAGACGCATCGCCGCTGAAGACCGGACGGCAAACGTCGACCCGGGATCTGATCAAGTGGTGCTCCAGGGCTGTCGTCGATTTCGATGTATCCTCCTCGGACTCGGCCTTGAAGATACTTCAGGACGCCATAGACGTGTTCTGCTGCTCGGTGACCGATCAAGGTGCGCGTTTATGTTCGGATGGATGAGTATCTGTGAAACTTGAAATAATTCTGTATAATTATGTATATTGATTACCGACGATTCTGTCTTTTCGCAGAGCAACGCTTGAACTTGGCGATCGCGGTGACTCACAAGCTCGGGATCGTAAGCACGAAGGCGGAATATTTCTGCAAAGTACACAAGCCGGCGGTGACTCTGCTGCCCGAGGTCCTGGTGGTCGGCCGAGCGAAACTACCGCGCAAGAAGGCGCGATACGCGAAAGTGACGATCGATAACAGCAACTTCTCGTTCACGCGACCCTCCGCCTGCCTGCTGCAGCGCATAGCCAGCTGCGTGGCGCAGAAGGAACCGGTGTTGCTGGTCGGCGAGACCGGCACCGGGAAGACCAGCACGGTTCAGTACCTGGCGAGGAGCACCGGGCACGGATTGACGGTGATAAACATGAATCAGCAGAGCGAGAGCACCGATCTGCTGGGCGGTTACAAGCCGGTCGACCTGAAGTTCCTGATCTCGCCGGTCTGGCAGGAGTTCGACATCCTGTTTCGCTCGTACTTCAACCTCGAACAGAACGAGAGGTTCCTGAAGCAAGTGAGCCTGCTCTACACGCGGCAGAATTGGAAGACCCTCCTGCAACTGATGAGACACAGCGCACGCGCCGCCGTGAAGAGACTGCGGGAAGAATGCGCGTCCGAGGAGGACCGTTCGAAGGATTTCAACGCAGACGGGAGGAACGGTGAGGAGGAACGCTGGAACAGCCGATCCAAAGTGGACATGTGGAGGAGGTGGGAAGGTCTGCTGAAGAAGGTGGAGAAGGTCTACGGCCAGGTGAAGAATCAGTACGCGTTGGCGTTCTCCTTCGTGGAGAGCAGCCTGGTGAAGGCTCTGCGGGACGGTTCCTGGGTGCTCTTGGACGAGATCAACCTTGCCAGCGCGGAGACTCTGGAATGCCTCTCCGGTCTGCTGGAGAGCTCGTCGGAGTCGCTGCCGCTGTTGCTGGAGCGCGACGAGCCTGTGAAACGGCATCCCGACTTCATGGTGTTCGCCTGCATGAATCCAGCGACGGACGTCGGCAAGAGGGACCTGCCGGTCGGCCTGCGAAACAGATTCACCGAGTTCTACGTCGACGAGCTGACCGAGCAGATCGACCTTCAGCTGCTCGTCAACTCGTACCTCAAGCAGATCCAAATAGACAAGCACAAGGCGATCGTGACGTTTTACCTGAATGTGAGGAGGGAGGCGACGAACACGCTGTACGACGGCACGGCCCACCAACCGCATTACAGCCTGAGGACTCTGTGCCGCGCGCTGGCCATCTCCGCAGCGAACCCCTGCGGCAATATTCTCAGATCCTTGTTCGAAGCTTTCTCCCTGAGCTTCCTCACGCAACTGAACCACAAGTCATATCCGACTGTGCAGAAGATGATCGCCAAGACCATCCTGGGCAGAGACCAGAACATCAAAGCGACCCTCGGCGCGGCCATACCGAAACCGAACTGCGCTCCGAGAGAGGAGTACGTGAACGTCGAGGGCTACTGGGTTCTCCAGGGCGGTCTAACGCCTCAGACGCCGAATAATGTGAGTAGGGGATGACACGGGTTCCGGTGGAACGTAAATGTCTGGCGACATTCGAATTTGTTTTTTCTATGCACGAGTCATTTTCATAAGTTCAGCTTCAAAGTTGTTTAGGATATAAAGCAAACTAAAGGATATATCATTTTGACAAAAACGTAGTCAATAATATCTAATAAGAGGGCAAGGGAGTGTATCGGAGCGGGAAGCTCAGGGTAGCTCAGCGGTAAGAACAGTCGCTCGGTTCCGCACGGCAAAAAATTGCGTGTTATAAACAGCCGCAATTTTATCTATTCACGAGTCATTTTCATAAGTTCAGCTTCAAAGTTGTTTAGGATATAAAGCAAACTAAAGGACACATTATTTTGACAAAAACGTAATCAATATTATCTAATAAGAGGGCAAGGGAGTGTATCGGAGCGGGAAGCTCAGGGTAGCTCAGCGGTAAGAACAGTCGCTCGGTTCCGCACGGCAAAAAATTGCGTGTTATAAACAGCCGCAATTTTATCTATTCACGAGTCATTTTCATAAGTTCAGCTTCAAAGTTGTTTAGGATATAAAGCAAACTAAAGGACACATTATTTTGACAAAAACGTAATCAATATTATCTAATAAGAGGGCAAGGGAGTGTATCGGAGCGGGAAGCTCAGGGTAGCTCAGCGGTAAGAACAGTCGCTCGGTTCCGCACGGCAAAAAATTGCGTGTTATAAACAGCCGCAATTTTATCTATTCACGAGTCATTTTCATAAGTTCAGCTTCAAAGTTGTTTAGGATATAAAGCAAACTAAAGGACACATTATTTTGACAAAAACGTAATCAATATTATCTAATAAGAGGGCAAGGGAGTGTATCGGAGCGGGAAGCTCAGGGTAGCTCAGCGGTAAGAACAGTCGCTCGGTTCCGCACGGCAAAAAATTGCGTGTTATAAACGGTGCACCGCAATTTTGTATTTTTTTTTTGTGCAAACCTTATGTTTTATTGGTTGCACGGAATTATAAGCACTACTACACAGTGAAAATACGTGCGAAAATAAATCGGAGCATTATTCGATATGTGAGAAGAACGATAAAAAATTTCGAGATTGGCATCTCTAGCCGTCAGTCAGCGTGAATGTTTTACCTGATACAGAAATTCTGTAATTTCTGCGTACCGAATATATCAATGCTCCAATCCTATAAGTGCGTAATATTCCTAGAATATTATATGAATATTATTCAATATTAAAATAATATTCTTATAATATTCTAAGAATGTTATATTTTCTATGTAAAATTTTTTAATATTATAAGTTCTATTGATATTATATGTCCACTTCACATAATAATATTGGCATATTATAAAAATGTTCTTAGAATATTACAACAAAATGAAATAACAATAATATAGAAAAATATATATAAAAACCACACGCGCGCGCGCGCACACACACACAAGTATATATATAATTTTAGTATAAAACGTATTTTTACACAAAATTCTTTCGATTTTATAATATATATATATATATATATATAAAATACTACATAATATTACATAATAATATAAAAATATATAATATTATATATATATAACATTAAATAATATTATTTTTTTAATATTATCAGGAGTGGACATATAACCATCTATTAATGTTCCAGAAATATTACTTAATATCAAATAATATTGCTAGAATATTATTAGAATATTACGTCTAATATTTTAAAAGTATGCTCAGAATATTACTTAGTATTATAACAATATCACGCGCTTATAGGGAATCAAAAAAATTTCAACGAACGTCTTTATATCTTTTCAATCAAATTTAGAAACCTAAAGAGATACAAAAAGTTTGCAAAAATTCGATATATCTTTTGGTTAAATTTTCCATTAGATATAGTAAAACAGAGTAGCGCACACTCGAAGTTTATGTGGTTCAACATTTGGAGGATCGTTTCTACGTTACTGACGCTCATCAAGTTCGTCAGTATCTCCTTCTATAGTATCCCTTTAAAATAACACGACATTTCATTGAACCGTTTTTAGCACAAAATTTCTTATTACGCGAGTTCCATTCCTGGCCCGGCAAGCTCCAGCTTCCGACATACTTTCTCTCTGACTCTTACAGTTAAAGACGATCAGTGAGATTGGCCAATCCTCCGTCTCTTCTTTGCAATTGGAAAGGGAGGGAAGATTCTAAATTCAAATTATTTAAACCGAACTTGGTTCTTTATGACTAATTTACACTTTTAGCCTTTGGAGTGAAATAAGTATATAATCAAGAGTTGAAAGGAAAAGGATCGTGCGAAGTTCCGGTGCAACATTAGTTCAGCTATAAAGAACAAACCTCTGTTGACGTTAATGTCGGTCTACAATAGGTATTTTAAGTCTTAAGAAATTAGCCGCGTTCAGCAGAACGTTTAATTTGCAACTGTTGAAAGTTTTCTGAGCTGAGATTGGATTATTCTTTTAGATCTACAGGAATAATCCAATGTCAGCAATGACCAATCACAGTTAATTATTCCCTTCACCTTGGACTGTGACTGGTCAATTTCTTAAGGCTTAAGGTTAAAATTGTAGACCGACGCTTAACCCTTAGCTGACACACGTCAAAATAATAACGTACGTGCTATAGGGGGTATTTTGGACCCCAGCGAGAAAAAATGTGTATAATTGTTTTATTTATCAATATTGGGTCAAGCCTCGACTAATACTAGGTGACGCCACAGAACCAAATTTGGCGCGCAGCTATGAAAAATTTGCGTTCAAAAACACTCTGGGGTACTTTTAACCCCGTGTGTCAGCTAAGGGTTAAGCGGGGTCTACAATAAGAATTTAAGGCGTAAGGAGATTTAAAAAATTGACCAATCACAATTGATTTTTCTTCAATAGTTCGACTGTGATTGGTCAATTTTTAAGGCTTGAAGTACCTATTGTAGACTAGGAATTAGGTAACGCGGCATTTCAACATTTCTCTTTCCACTGCAGTATATACTAACCGATTCCGTCAGAAGAAACTTGCGGGACTTGGTGAGAGTAGTGTCGATCGGTAAATTGCCGATTTTACTGCAAGGCGACACTTCAGTAGGGAAGACGAGTCTGATCACGTATCTGGCGAAAGTCTCGGGCCACGTCTGCGTCAGGATAAACAATCACGAGCACACGGATCTGCAGGAGTACGTTGGAAGTTACGTCGCGGACGAAACGGGGAAGTTGGTGTTCAAGGAAGGTGCCCTGGTCGACGCGATGCGTAAAGGTACGTCGTAATAAACGGCGTTTATCTCGCACAAAAGCCGTGTTCCAGACGTGCCCCATAATTGTCTGATTGAAACACGTTCGCAGGACACTGGATCATCCTGGACGAGTTGAATTTAGCCCCGAGCGACGTCCTGGAAGCCCTGAATCGAGTCTTGGACGACAACAGAGAATTGTTCATACCCGAGACGCAGCAGGTTGTAAGAGCGCACCAACACTTCATGTTGTTCGCGACGCAAAACCCTCCTGGGATTTACGGCGGTCGGAAGGTAAGGAGTGTCGCTCCCTTTAATCCCCCCCC